CCTTTTCCTCAGCGGGTTCACAGATAGCCTACTCTCCCGATCCATCTGTCAAGCCGGAGACTGAGGATTGCAACATCGCGACCAACCGAGAAACCCCCAATATACCCAGCCGCCGGTCAAACGAAGAACCCCGTAACCCGCTCACAAATTACTTTCCGCAGCCTCGGGGGACGCAGACATGTCTTACAAACACGGATCAGAGTATACCTACCAGGGAGCCTGATCATTTGGAATTTTCCAAGCATTCGCAGACTTGGAAGTTGCAGCCATGGCAATTAGACCTGGAATCAGACCTCGGGCATAATGACAGTATAGGGAGCAAATTGGTTGACAATCCCCACTATTCAAAGGATTTTACTCTTTGGAGGGAACTTGTCCTGTACCGCCAACGACATTATGGAGATACTGGAGTGATTGACATATGGAAAGGGTTGACTGAGAGATGCTCTGGGATTAGACTCCCTACCGAGGGGAAAGATGCTGATTTTCTATGGGAGACTTTTGTCTCCATGGGGCTAAAGCACGAATGGATGCTAAAAGAGCTCCAATCTCACGCAGAATTTATTTGGAAAGAGAAAGGGTTGAGATGGAAATACTTTTATGAGCGTGTTATAGGCACCTTTGTGAAAGCAGGAAATGAGTCGAAGGCTCTCCTGTGGCATCAAGCGCTAAAACACACCCACTTGGATAACCCGGAAGGTATCCTATGTGTTTTCAAAACTGCAATGTCCACCAGAGAGGGCCTGGATATCTTCCGTCGTCTATGCCAACTGTCCGATGGCCATAGAATATACTCATTCGTGGTGCCGATTCTTTGCAAACATAAGGGCATTGAATTAGCTCTTGCCATGCATCATTTTTTAATGCGACGTGGGGATTTTCCGTCATCCATTGAGGATGTTCTGCCACTAATCCACCATGTGCAAAAATACAGCAATCCGCAGCAACAGTCTCAATTTCTTACTGGGCTTATCAAATCCGGCACTCTGCCTGTTGATACTTCGATTGACAGCTTCTCATCCCATTCCTCACAGATTTACTCAGCCCCCTCTAATACAACTGGCACACAATCCTCGATGGTAAAAGACGATCTCGGAGCCCGACTCTTTGCTACAAAAACCTTCACATTCGACTTGATCCTTGGGGGCCTCAAAATGTTTGGTGTTGGAGCCATTGGCCCTTTAACGCTCCAGCAAATGGCACTAAAGGCTGTGGATATTGCTGAGCTGCAATATCAAATTTCTCAGCTGAAAGAGATAGGCATATCTACTGGAAACTCAGTGTTTGCCAAAGCTGTTGATTATTTCATTGCCCGGAAAGATCACCAAGCTCTCTACGATCTAATCCATAGTGATCAACATCCAGATGCCTTAGAGTCTCTAGAAACACAAGAATCACTCTTCCACCACTTTTCCATGTCGCATGACTGGCGCCAGGCGAATTTGACTCTCACAATACTCTCCTTTTTATCTCCTGAAGATCCTCACTGCTACAATATACAACTTCGGAATGCACTAAAACTCGACGATAGGAGGCTTATCTCTGAGATACTCGAAAAAATGAAAGCTGACCGCATTTCACCGTCCAAAAAAACCATAAAATGGATGATATGGAATATCCTTCCATCTCGCCGTATGGGAACACGCCCCATCTTAGATAGGCCTGCAAGAGATGCCGTCTTACGCCTGTTTGGGATTTTCCAATATGTTATAAAGTATGGCGGCTACATTCCTCCTGAATCATGGGAAGCTGGCCTCAAACAACTCATTATTAGCAACCGGTGGTCTGAACTTGAAAGACTATGTCTTTGGCTTGCCGAAACTTATTCGCCTCAGAACCACACCCAGAACTCACAAATACCTAACATCCGCCTACCTCCCACCCACCCACTGTCCCCATTACGCATCATCTTCAGTGTGGATTTTCAGCAAGCAATCATCAACTGTGGCTTCTTACGCAAGCCAAAATTTAACTTCTCTGGTTCTTCGACTCTGAATCCATTCGGACCAACACCTGATTCTGTCGCCCTGTGGGTCTGCGGGCTGATCTTACTGAGGCGGCTGAAGGAGAAAGGTGTCTATATTAACACCAATACTGTCCGGCGAGTGTGTCGTACACGATTTGCCATACTCTTTGGTGACGGGCCTCCATCAAAGAGAAAGAGCAATCTATTGCTCAGGAAGGTAAATCCATGGACCCTGGACCAGCTAATAGCAGACGCAAATAAGGTCTGGGGGTCATCGCTTTTCTCAGACTTCACGCCAAACATCCATAAGCTTGTTAACCCTCGCCGCCGGCCCATTACTTCTCAGGACCATCACATGCCGGGAGAGAGCAAGCGCTGAAAAATATGGCTGCTACTAGGACAAGATCGGATGCCACACAAATCGAGTACCCAAGAATCAACCCTCCGAGTGTTTAGTTATGCATTCACGCCGTGTTGGCGCCCAACTTAAAGATGGACCTTCAAATAACATATCTAAGCATACTAGCTAGATACTTACACACGGGTGGAGCATGTTGCTAGTCACTGTGGGAGCACAGCCGTCATCTTCAGTTTCTGCAAGGCCTCTATGCCATGCAATTCAACAAATCTATTTGTACATAATTTATATCAACGACAATAAAAATACAAAAACTATATAGTATCTCCGGTTCTTAAATGTCGTTTATATGGTTCAGTTCCATTAGTAGCTCCCATCCTGTTACCGGAGACCAAGTACCTGAAGAAAATAGATAAAAGGGCAAGCCCAGCTAACTCCGTAATCCCCAGGGTAACCATCAACGTGACTCGAATCAAAGCAAATATTTAAGATGGATTTCGTTCAATATATCAAGTTGCTACTGGAATCAACATCGACCCAGTAAGACTGTATGTTGTTGAGAGGCCCTAAACTGTCACATTGGGAGAAAACGGGCTCTTCGGTGTCACTAAATGTAACCGTTCCAAATATAAATGGAAGCTCCAACGGTGGAGCGGGTTTCACCAACCCTGGATGAACGACGCCGTTGCCCTTCCCAATCCACAATGCTACCACTTTTCCGCTCTGTCGATCCCAGGCGATTATGTGCCCGGTACACCTCCATCTCTCTCTAGAATCACCCAAGCCGGCGGCGTTCGCCGGAGATGCTCGAACGCCAATATATCCCAGCTGCATTAGAGACACATTACCAAGGCTCCGTATGGGCACGCCGTTTCCGTCAACATGCACTCTGATAAGCCCAAGGGATGCTGGGGACAATGGTTGGCCTATATCACGTCCTAGCTGAGGAAGATTACCAATAAATTCAACCGGTGAACAGGTGGGGAACCAAGCGTAGTCCAAGGTATCGGAATTTTCAAGTAGTTCCATCTTTAACGGGATATCAACTCCTTCATATTCGTCTAAAAGGTCGGCAATGGCGGATAAGTTATTCAGAGATCTTGAACAGCCATTTGTTTGCATTCCGCCTTGTAACTGACGTATGAATTTAACGCTTGAAGTGTAACCTGAGGGATTATAGCAGGGCTGGTAGCCGTCGTTAGCAGCACTAGCACTGTGGATTTCTTCCATGCTAAGTGGGTGGTAGTGATGACCGGCTCCATCGTTAAACCAAGTAGCACCCAGTACTAACTCGAGAGAATGAAGGTCGCGTTGTAATAAAGTAGCAGTAGTTGCAGGAGCAATTACAGTCCGAAGAAGTCCGTGTGAGTCATGCTCTAGAAGAAGCCTCCAGGTTGGGGCCGGAAGGTGTTCGTTCAAATCAATGTACTTTGAAGCTAGTTGAGCAGCTTCGAGAGCACGACCTGGATTTCCCAGCGTCAAGAAAGCCTCGATTGATGCAATAGCGCTCTCAGTTATCGCCGCCGTTTGCCCATATTCAAGTTCAGCTTGGACTTGACGCCAAAGATCAAAAACCATTTTCTCTCCACCTAACTCACCTAGGAGCTGCAAATATTTCGGTAAGACCTCGCTATCTCGAATGCTGGAGAAATCCAAATGTGAATGCAAGGTGTCCGCGCTAGTCTGTTCGTTTCCCGGTCCGATAATCACTCTCAGCATCGCAGATTTATCGATACTTGGATCTTCCCAATAACGGCGTTTGAACCCGTTCGACAATGAGTCTATGAGGTTAACGCTGATGGACCGTGGTAAAGTGCCATGGCCTCCCTTTGAATAACTCCGTAGATATAAAGCTAACGAGCCGGGTGAAAAGTCCTCAGCCGCGTAACTCATACCCAGAAGGAGTAATTGGTGTGTGTCTTTAACCCCCAACCGATTTAACCTTGCCAGAAGGCCGTTTATTGTCATAAGTAAATCTTCCCCTTCCACCCTGGTGTGACACTGATCCAAGGCATTTTCAAGTGACTGAATCGAATTTAGCAGATTAGCCCCTGAATTTTCAGAATTGATAAACGTCTCAATGTCCGCTTGCAATCTTGAGAGTCCATGGCCATTCGGAAGCTTGGGTAGTGGTGGTGAAAGACGATCAACGGTGCTTGGTCTTCTGGGTAGCCGGTTTTTCTGAAATTGAGATGTCAAGCGTTCATCCAGTTTCTTATCGAGCCTATCTCCGGGTCCGCTGCATGTTGTGCCGGTGATGGCGAAGCGAAGGAGCTGTGCCTGGGACGGTTGGAATAGAGACTTTGCCGGCAAGCTTTGCGAATATCTCCGTAATGTGACAAATTGAGAAGATGATAGCAGGCCGCAGCGCTCTGTCATAAGCCGACAGCCATCAAGCGTCAAAGAGCGCATTGAGACAAGAGTCAGCTCACTCCATGCGTTGCTTGCGGGTTGATACCAATTTGATCAGTTCTTCCTTTGGTTCTTCAAAGGAGAAATAGACGTCAGTAATTACGTAATCACTGGTAACTACCTAGCCTACTAATCTTTTGAACTTTGTCTTTCTCTTCAACCAAAATCCTTACTTACCTACATCTGTCAAACACGCCTCCAACCTCTCTCCAGAACACACTTTGCCGATATTCGCAGAATCGTAAAAGTGCACAGCACGCGATAATGCCTACCGAAGCCGAAGCCGCCGATACGGCGAAACCTACTGACGGCGCCACAACGTCACATCAAGAAGATAAAGCCGAGAAACAAAAGAATGATCTTGAACATTCATCTAAAAAGAACTCTTCAGAGACTGAGTCTGAGAACTCGATAGCAAACAAGACAGAAGCCGAAGATGCGGCATCGAAAAACCAAGACAGACTTCAGAGATTCAAGGCCCTCCAGGCAAGAGCAGTAAGGAAACCTCGTCGATGGTGTCTCCCATCTCGATAAGTACTAACCGAGTCAACAGAAAACGGCAGTGAAAAATAATTTAAAGGAGACTGCGGCGGAAGCCCATCGTTTATCTGTCGACCCCAACGCTCTATCTTCCATATCGCGCAAGCATGCCTTTGCATCCCACAGCTTGCTAAAAGCAGACATAGAAACTGCTGGTGAAGATTTCGAACGGAAACGTGCGTGGGACTGGACTGCTGAGGAATCTGAGAAGTGGGATCGGAGAATGGATAAGAAACAAAAGCACCGGGACAATGTTGCATTTCAGGATTACCGTCAGGATGCCCACAAGAACTATAAGAGACAGCTTCGACGTATGCAGCCAGACCTGGAGGCATATGAAAACGAGAAGGCAGCGGCAGTGCAGCGTGCAGCTGCCAATGGTGGACTTGAAATAATTGAAGATGAGAATGGAGACATCGTTGCTATCGACAAAAACGGGGCATTTTACTCCACTGCTGATTCAACAGACTTCGTGGAGAACAGGCCAGACAGGGCCGCTATTGACAGGCTAGTAGCTGACATGCAGAAGGCGGAGGAAACCCGTCTTAAGAAGCGTAGGGAACGTGGTCAGGGCGATGATGATGCTGACGTTACCTACATCAATGACAAGAACAAGCGTTTCAACCAGAAATTGGCGAGGTTTTACAATAAGGTACGCATTCAAGGTGTTAAGTTTTTGGGGCATATACAAAGAGTGTATACTAATCAAATATCGTGATAGTACACCGCCGAAATTCGTGACAGCTTCGAAAGAGGGACGATGATATAACTAAACCGGATTAAGCGATGCAGTTCATATTTTACAAGACCGACCTTATTTAACAGTCGATAATAGTCTACAGAGGGTAGATATGGGCCAGCGGGATGTGGTAACCCACCGAATGATGCTACGTTCAAAGCATCGTTTTCCTCCAACCTTTGGTTGCTAGGTCTTCAATCTTCTTCGGGCTAACGACGCCATCCACATCACTGTCATCGATTGACTCAACCACGGCTTCACCAACGACGCTGACTTTGAGAGGCTTTTCTGCCATCGATCCCAAAGCCGAGAGCTTTCCGCCAGTTAACAAATTAACCTCCGAAGCTATCATACCTCCCACCGCTATGGGTAAAGATAGCCTGCGAGATGAGTCGTACATGAAGGTCGGCCTCACAAATATACTCCGCAGATTTGGAAACATGGACATAATAGATGACTCTGCTTCCCTCTTGGACAATATATACCCTTGCGGTATGATCGGGGCTCCAGAGGACGCTGATATATAGACAAACGTTGGGATATTTTCCTTGGTTGTCTTTTTGGCAAGCGAGATAGCTGTCGAAGCGATGGAATTAGCTATGTTTCATTGATAAATTGGCCAGAGTTCCCTTACCTGATTCCGTATTCATTGTTCGATATGTCATTTGGCTTTTGCCCGGGCCAGTTGTTACACCTGCAAAAGACCCAACCATCTTCTGTATCCCAGTAATAGGAGACTCCTTTCCCTGTAATATGCCCTTATAGTCTGCCTCCAGAATAATGCCCATCGAATGTACAACAGCAGAGGCATTCTTAAGATGCTCATTGTACGAACTGGGGTCTAGGAGATCTGCTTTTGCCCATTCAACCTTTTGTGCCCATCGTGGAGCCTGGCCCGAAGGGCTAACTGTATCCCATTTCGGTTCTCCGTGACGACTATGTTATATATATCAGTTAGCCAGCGAAAGTATGGAAAGCTGCTTCAAGGTCAGCACTGCCGGGTGAAGCACACCTTAATGACACAACTTCCCACCCCCTAGCTATAGCTGATTGGCATATTCTCGCTCCTAAGGACACGATATAATGCATTAGACCTAAGTTTCCGCACTATTCCGATACCATGGAATATTGTTTATAGATCAGGGTTATCTTACCAAGAAAGCCGCTCCCTCCAGCTACAACAATTCTCTTAGCCACAGCCGCTGTTGCCGTCATAGTAAGGTCCCACGCTTCAGCAAAATGAAATAAAACAAGCCCAGCTCTCCAGAATCTCACGGTTGAGAGCTATTATTGCATTTCTCTAATCTTCCTTTGGAGCTCCCAAAAGAAAAACTGTCTTTGGAGCTGGCCGGGGAGCTTATCGCATAACGTGATCCGGATAAGGTTGGACATGGAAGCTCACGGCTTATCTAATCACCTTTTTATAGGACCTTTGCTGATAACTACTAGAAATATCAGCACGGCCAAACTTGCCAGCATTTCAAACAGCAGAGCTCAGACGGTACTTAAGCAAAAATGCCCGCGCCAGCAGGTACGAAACGCGTTCGGGTAAGTACTTTGTGAATCATGGTATATACATATTAATATATATTTACTCTAACCATGGATGTCTAGGGAACCCAAATATTCCGTCCTTTTGGTATGGCAAATTGCGAACGCACTCGCCCTCCATCGAATAACTGACACCAAGGTTGCTAATTTGAAAATATGGCGTAATGTAGTATTCGGAAGCGAGGCATACCCCTTTGATCCTAACAAACGACCCGAAGGCGCTGCGGAAGACCACACTCATCAGTGGCGTGTATTCGTTAGAGGCATTAATGGCGAAGATATTTCATACTGGCTGAAGAAGGTGCAATTCAAGCTACACGAAACTTATGCGCAGTCCGTCCGAACAATAGAGGCACCACCTTTCGAAGTAACCGAGACCGGATGGGGTGAATTTGAGATACAAATTAAGCTATATTTCGTGCCAGAGTCAATGGAAAAACCACAAACGCTATGGCATGGACTGAAGCTTCATCCATATGGCTCTGATGTTGAAGGGAAAAAGGCAAGAAGGGAAACTGTGGTCAGCCAAAACTATGAGGAGGTGTTATTTAATGAACCGGTTGAACAATTTTACGACTTGCTCACTGGTGGGACTGGTGTTGCCCAGCAACAAACGAAAGGAAAGTCGACGAAGGGAAAACAAGCCCAGTTGCCGCCCACGGCGCTAGGTAAAAGAACTGCTGAAATTCCTCATACGGACAGTCCCAAGAATCCCTATAGTCGAAAGTCGGAAGCAAAGGAAGTCGACCGGATAATAGAAGCAACAAAAACAGTGGAAAAGATTTTGAAGGATGAAAAGGCAAAACTTTTGGAGAGAGAAAAAGTCCTTGCCGGTCTCAAAGAGACTGAAGGAACCAGCCTTCTTCAGAAGAAAAGATAAGGTGGACTCTGGGACTTGTTACCTCACATTTTCAACGCCTAAGGTCTCTGCATCCAACGACCGTTTGGATGCTACCACTCTCTCCATCGAGAAAACCATTCAAAGTAACCATAGTATGGGCCCGGAAGACACATAGTTGGCTTTATGCTGTCCGAGCAACGCATAAAAACTGTGGCTAACCGTCAGTCACGCATTTGAATGTTAGTCGGCGATAGAAGGTACTACGAGCAAGATTTCAAATTCGCCTGTCGAACATCACGCTAGTCAACCTTTCAGTGGCAGGGGATTTGGTGAACGATATCCTTAACTGTGACCAGGTCATATTCTAAACACATGTTGTGTTTTCATATTCAGTGGTTGGCCGAATATCTGGGCTGGAAGAGAGCCAGCAAACTGCCAAGTCTGCTCCATTGTGGCTTTGTGGTGCTTTCCCTCCTATCTAGCCAATAATGATTTACCCTAAATGTATCTTTAGGAAACACTAGACGCTCTACCTAATAGGAAAGAGCCCTCGATGAAATTAGTAGCCGATAGCTTTTTAGGATCTCGATATAAAAAAAAAATAAATAAAAATGCACCGGCTCACTTTAACTTCACCCTTCGGCGATCAATTATAGGGGCTTAACTGTCAGTATATAGCATACACTTGATCTAGAAACGATTGGGTTGAACTTGTTGCATGGCACTATCTATAATATGTAGTTATCATGACTTCTGAGCTTTGAACAGCTCTGGTTTCATGTTGATTTTGCATAATTTGGCAATACACCCACTGAGTTGCACCAGGGTTTGTAGTCCTTCTAGAATTCGCATGTGGGTAAATCCAATCTCCTTGATGAACTCCAATTTTGAATGTTCAGAGAGATTGGGTATAGTTTTAGTTACTCGGAACATGGTTGATATGATATCATGAGCAGAGTACCCAAGTTCCCTAAGTAACGAAGTCAGCAAGGGACATTGTATAAGAAATAAAGGTTGGTAACACGCACCACAACTCATTCAGAGTATCCAGGGCAATATCAACTTTTCCTTCCCAGCATGCTTTGATCATTGCCTGCACTTTGACTGGGTGTGGGCTATCTACAACCCTGAAAACATTATCACCGCTCACAAAGCCAAATCCAGCCCATGTACTCTGCAAATTGTTGATTGCCTGTCGCATATCACCTTCCGCGCTGAACACCAGTGCAGCAATTCCGTCATCAGAATATTTAACTTTCTCGGCTTCACATATCTGCATCAACCGCTTCACAACCTGGGCATCTGTTAAGCGCGAGTATCTGAGAATCGCACAACGAGATTGTAGAGGTTCAATGATCTTGTTAGATTGATTACATGCAAATGCAAACCGAGTTGTAGTCGAAAATATCTCCATAGTACGTCGAAGGGCTTGCTGAGCGCCAGATGTCATACTAACAAGACGTTAGGTATGCGAGCTTCTGCATGCGAGCACATAATATCAGCCTTTCAGCTCACCTGTCTGCTTCATCAAGAATGACAAGCTTATGTCTGCCAGGGGGTAATGTGACTTTCTTCTGTGCGAATCCTTTTATTCTGTTACGGACAACATCGATACCTGTGCCATTAATTAACCTTACGGAACAAATTCAGAGCATAGTTTAGCAAACCTCGTTCATCACTGGCATTGAGCTCTAGTACGGCCTCCTTATATGTATCGCCTAACAATTGTCTTGCTAAGCAGAGAATCGAGGTTGTCTTTCCTATTCCAGGCATGCCAGAAATAATGACATGGGGCATGTTTCCATCGCGAGCGATAATCTTTAGCCGTTCTATCGTTTCAGTATTACCCACAACATCGTCTAGAAAAATTGGTCGATATTTTTCAACCCTATCAACGCCGCAACCCGTCAGCCATTCTATCAACAGCTTTTCCTCATTCCCCTTGAAACTCCTTCATGAGCTCCCTTACCAGGGTAATTCATAATTGACCGGAGCACCAGAAACGTCGGCGCGGGCAATTTTATTGGCAGCTGCAGTAGATGATTCTGCGTGTGCCATGTTCGAGATATGCAACCTGGTATCTTGTGTATTCAACGTCGTCTTGTGCCTAGATTGGAGTTGAGTTCAATTTAGATTTGAGCAAAACGCGATGTTCGCGTTTAAGCTTATCGCGGATGGGTTTCCTTATCACCACGTGACTTTCTGAAGCCTCTGCTTATGTAATCACGGCCCATGCCGAAGCGTTCTGCGGCGGCGCCTTGATCGAGCAAGCCTCTTTGGGGACCTCGAGCGAAAAGTCGCCTTCATCTCCGGGCCAGCTTCAATGCACGAATTAATTGTGACTTTCTCGTACTCCGAACCACTCCGCTCGTTTTCCTGCCGCTGACAATAATCTTGCTAAATCGCAGTCGAAAGAGAAGCGCACGTGGCGCCCCATGGCCCCGGCCCTAGTCCTAAACAGGGAGCTCTCTCTGCTCTTCCTCTTTCTCTTCGAGCTACGCTCGGCATGAGTGTTACATAAAGGCTAACTCGGGGCTTCAATATGGGGAGAGTGGCATCCCTGTATGGCGTGCATGTGTGTATATATAGCTGAATGCTTCCCTCCCTGGAATGGTCGTCTCGGTTGTTTTGTCTTGGTAGTATTCACTATAACGTTGGTTTACGCCCAAGTTGGAGGATATACGGGAATACTTTCAAACTTGGCAGCAGCTGGCACTGACAAAATGCCGGGCATCAACTCACCTCTGGCACTTCTCGCACTACTTGGAGTCCAGCAAGCATTGGCCGTGGACGGTTCATGGCATGCTCCCAATGCTACCGATATCAACAACCTTGACAAGGTCTTGGATAGCGACGGTGTTTATGGCTTCATCTTCGACTCCTCTCAAACACCGGACAAGGAATATGGCAAATACAATTGGTGTAATATGCCACACACCCGCCCCAGAGAATACCCAAAAGCCCCAAAGGAATACAAGTTGCAATACGTAGAAGTTGTATGTCTCCAGGAAAGCATCGACAATGTTAACGTTGACAGTAGCTAAAATAGTTCATAGATACACCGACACCATAAGCGTACTCCTTATCAGTCCAACACCTTCCCTCAAGAATCTTACCCTTGGGACTGTGATGACGAAGGCTTGTTTTACTACGGTGAACCAAAGAATGGCCGAAACAGTGCCAAATCCTATTGGAAGGGTTATCAGAATCCAATAAATCCCTTCCAGCCTTCGGGATTTAAAGGATCATGCAGCTTTCCCCAAATTTCAAAGGAAGGACTCGATGATTCGTGGCAGCATGGGCGTGATTTATTTGCCGTTTACCATAAGCTCCTGCGTTTTCTCCCACCTCAATTGGACCAAAGCAAAGTCTCGTTTCGTGTGACCAACAACATGATCACTAGCCAAGTTGCAGGAATGCTTATCAATGGAATGTACGGCATCAGAGGAGATGTACCTCTCAGCATTGAGGTATGTTACCAATTCTATAGGCACTCGCAGTTTGTGATCGGAGCTAATAATATCTTTCAAGTCCCCACAAACGGACTCACTTGAACCTAAATATTCCTGTCCAAAATCGAGTGCTCTCTTTTCAGGTGCGAAGGATGCCCCCAACACACCGTGGGCTGACCATCTAGCCCGTACAAAGGAGTTTGTGGCAGAATTAGACGCTATTTCTGGCGTCTCTCCATCCGACTCCGGATGGCACTCCAGTTTCGACCACTATTTTGATAATTTGTCAGCTCGTCTCTGTCACGCCAAGCCGTTGCCATGCAATATCAATGACACCTCGAAATGTATTACTCGGACTCAGGCTGATAAGGTCTTTCGACTGGGCCAGTTCGAGTATTCTTACATGTATCGCGACTCCAAAAGCTCTCTCCCTGCTAGCACATCTAGCTTAGGTGTCTGGATCGCAGAATTTGCCCAGCATCTTCGTGATCAGGTAGCTGGAAAGGATGGGAAGATGCTCTATAGACACAACGTCGCCCATGATGGAAGTGTTTCAAGGCTTCTATCAATTCTCCAGCTGGATGTTATGGTTTGGCCCGGCATGGGCTCCGAGATTGTCTTCGAACTCTACTCCAAGAAAAAGGATACGTGGGGCCGTGAGAAAGAGTACTTTGTACGTGTTTTGTTCAGTGGCCAGGTCATGCGCAGCTCCCACCCGGATCTTGGCCTATTGGATATGGTCCCTGTCCCAATTCTTTTGTCATATTTTGATGGCCTCGTTGGTGAAAAGGCAAGGTTGGTACCTGGACTTTGTGGGAATTAGTTAGGCTTTCCCCAATGTTACTACATCTAGTATTTCCCCGCCCTATAACTTGTGTGAAAGTTATATTGTTCATAGTAGTCGTGTCCATTAATATCCTTCCATTAATATTTTTATCACTTTTTCATGGACGAAGGAATATTGAATAATCACCTTTACATACGAGGGAGAAAGGGGTTGTTGACCGGCACAATCTTTCGGCTCTCGGCAAACTTGCCGCTAGCTCACCTGCCCCCTCGGCATTATGATGATTAGCCGTATACCCACCCATGATTGGTATGGATAGCTTTCATTTGGCCCTCGTCAGACTCTCGTAGACAACAGTAATTAGCATTATGATCTTCGGGGCTTCTGCTCTTTCCAAGACTCTTATTTATTATTATTAATTTTTGTTTGTTACAATAACTAGGAGGCAGTGCGAATTATTCCGGCTATGAACAACACGAAGAGAATGGAACTCCGAACACGAATATGAACATCCGGTGATTGGCTCCCTACAATATAGGGTACAAGTATTCGGAGTTTGTTCGTTAATCAACATGTTTCATCCAAAATATTAAATGTGAGTGGAGAAGTCTCCAGCTTCACCGCTTCGTACCGGGTATTGCATTCCAGTCATATAGTTACTATTTGTGCTGTAGCCTTGATTATATATACCTGGGCTTCCAAAGGACCAGACACGAAATAATCACAAGGAGTGGAACTGGAAAAGATGAACACTGAAGATATGGGTACAACATTATGTGACCGAGACGCATTGCGTACTAAGTTTTCTAAGGCGATGTCGGATATGTATAAAAATGAAGTGCCTTCATATGCCGACTTGATCGATATTGTGACTGAAGTCAACGCAAAATTGGCATCTCAAGATCAATCAAATACAGGAGTAGAAACCAGTGGCCCAGATACCAAAGATACCGGCAGACTCACGCTTGAGCGACATGGAGCAGTTCGCCTTGGGACCTCCTTTGAGCTTTCGACGATTAGGCGATTATTCTCTCAGTTTGGCATGTATCCCGTGGGATATTACGACCTTAGCGTCGCCGGATTGCCTTTACATGCAACCGCATTCAGGCCCATTGATGCCGAGGCGCTCGAAAAGAACCCCTTTCGAGTTTTCACGACACTTCTGAGGCCCGATTTGCTAAGAAAAAAGGCTCGAGATCTGTCCCACGCCATACTGAGAAAGCGAAGGATTTTCTCCAATCGTCTCCTAGACCTTCTTGATGAAGCGGAAATAAAAGGGGGGATTGTACCTGACGTGGTGGACGAGTTTATCGAGGAGACACTGGAAGTATTTCGTTGGCACGAAACTGCTGTAACAAGTCATGGCGAATATTTGCAGCTCAGGGATGAACACCCTCTTCTAGCAGACATTGCATCCTTCCGAAGTGCTCATATCAACCATCTCACACCCAGGACTCTGGATATTAACCAGGCTCAAGTAGCCATGAAATTACGAGGGTTGGAGGTCAAGGAAAGGATAGAAGGTCCCCCGTCTCGGAAAAATGGGATACTTCTCAGGCAAACAAGCTTTAAAGCAATCCATGAGAAAGTATATTTCCACTCCTTTGAGGGCGGAATGGTGCAAGGTATTCATACCGCAAGACTTGGCGAGATTGAACAACGGGGTGCCGCATTGACATATAAAGGTCGGCAGTTGTACGACACTCTTCTTACGGAAGTCAATGATAGGACAAAAGGTTTGGAACTTGGAGCACCGGCCTATGACAAAGTTCTAGCAGATGTGTTTGCCGCATTTCCGGATGATAAAGATACCCTTCGAGATCAGGAGCTTATATTCTGCTACTATAAGCCAACCAGTAAAGCGCTCGGACTTCTATCAGAAAAAATTGCTGTTTTTCCAACATCGATAGATGAGTTGCTGCGCCAAGGGCTTGTGGAATTCAAGCCGGTGACCTATGAAGATTTCCTCCCTTTTTCTGCGGCTGGGATATTCCGCTCAAACCTTGGTGAAGCTGGCGGCGAAAATCCGGCTATAAAATCAGAGCAAGACCAAAGGGGGTTTGAAGAATGCCTGGGTGACAAAACGAAGGATAGCATGGAGCTATATTCGGAAATCCAGCGGAAGAGTGTGGCATATTGCTTACACCTTTTCAATCTCAAAGACATGAGCCCATAGATTGTGATGAAAGCTCAGTCTCGCAAGTAAATTTTCAAGGAGTAACTAACAGTTAGCAAATCCAACTCCTAATTATAAGAGAGGGTGTTTCTGTGTAGTTAGGAAGCTCAGTCATAGGGAACGAACAGGCTGCGCTCTTGCAGTGAATCCAGGCTTATCAACTTTGGATATGTGTTTTTAGCAAGTCGAACGTAGCCGCAAAGCCCCTGGAGTCAGAATAGCTAGGTAGTTAAAGCGGCGCCAACTTATCTCCGGAGATGGCTTCGCTCCCGCGAAAGGACTAAAAGCGGCCATGAAGGTTAATTGCATATCGATAAACCAACACTTCAATGTATCGCAAGCAACAACGCGACCTGACTACCTAGCTCTTCTACTTTATTCTTAGGTCTTCGAAAGACAGCACCTCTTATTTCTCCCTAGCTTTATTACACAAATCCTCGACATCGCATTTTTAGATTGCCCACGGAAACATGCGCCCGCCATGACATCACGGCAGCGACACAGACGCATTCCCTCTGGGGGTAGCGCTACCACAACACAAACTACTGCGTCAAATGCGTCCACGACGGTGCAGGCGCCAAACTCCACAAGAACTGGATCTTCACAACCTACATCTACGCTTCCATCGGTGCGCAGGACTCTATTCAATTCTGCAACCAATTCCCGGAGCCAGCAGTTAGCATCCAATTCGGTGTCTATTACGTCCTCAGATTATGGTTCTGTCATACAAATGGACACCAATACAGGCCTGAGTGGGAACTCAAACCCGTTTGGTGGAAGCAATATATCGAAACCAGTACCTAAATCTGGCACGTCTCTATCGCCTAGTCCTGATAACGGTGATATTGTCCCTCGTGACAAGAATGGATGTTACAAGCTGGATATCCCTGTGCTACCGCCCGCAGTGTTTGAAGAAGCTGATGGCGGCGATTCAATGGAAGGCATAGAGCACACTGGAGGTGCCGAGATACCAGTTGAAGAGGGAGGAGAACTGGCTGGGAGAGACAAAGAAAGTATGTTTCTTCTCTCTTCATTTATTGCACTTGGAGTCAGTTCTAGATATAAAAATCTATTTCTAACAAAGGAAACAGAGATCGATGCAAGCTTTGTTGAAATGATGCGTCATAATAGGAGTAGGCATATTAATGGCGAGCCATCTGGTATGAACTATCGCTTGCTGCCACTTGTCTTCCTGGAAATAAAACTAGTTCTACTAGAACAACTGCTAATGATAACCCTAGAAGTGTTCCTATTAGTTCAGCAAAACCTCAGGGACAGCGTGTTAAAGCTCGAAGAGGATAATTGGATGTTCGAAGCTGAGGAAGAAGTCAAACTATAGCCGCCAAATGCCTGTTTGGTTTCTTTACAGAACGAATCCTGGCCTACAGCAATCATCTACCTGGACTACCAAATTCTTATCCACAGAGGGCTAGCAATGTCTATAATTCGTACCTAAGAGCCTAATCTAGGTCAAGGGACGGTGGAGCCTCCACTCTCTTAGAGGCCTTGGGTTGCTCGTTCGATTTCGACTGGCCAGATGGCCCTCCGAAAAACATCCCCATCATATCCATCAACGGGTTTGACTGTTTTGGTATTTTTATACCAAAATATAGCTCTCCAATGTGGGCCAAGGCATGATCCCATTCACCAGCCTCTTGAATATGGGACTGATACTGCTTGAGAAGCTGCCTGAATAAATCAGGAGTGCCGCGCTGGATTGCGAGCAGGAGTAGGTTTGTGAAGTTAAGCAGAGGTAGAGAGGGGTATACACGAACATCGTTCTGCTGGCTGCTTACTTCCTGAACACCGAGGGATTTACCAGACTCCGACGTGGAAAGGAGCTGTGTAAATACCACGAAGGCCTTATTCGCGTTAAGAACGTTACCGGTGAGAAGATAAGGAAAGACAGCGCGGCAGCAGTATATCCCGGCTGTGTGCTGCTCGTCATATGTGTACCACTTATACTCTAATTTTGCTAGAGTGTCGGCGGATTCAACAGTCCCGAAAGCGAGATGTTTCTCAGCGTCGTATGGTTCATTCTCTAACATCCGCCCTAGATTAGACCCCAACCCTAAGGATCAACTCGTCAAAAAATGATAAACATACCTTGTGCATAGGCAGATCCAATAGCGTGATGCAAATCCGGGTCACCCCTTTCTAAGCCCCCGAATTTTGAGCTCCAGGAAATAATTTCGTTTATATATCTCTTCCTAGTTGGCTCCTCTGGTGGGAATTCCCGAAGCAATTCAATGAGCCGTTCTAAGGAAAAATCAGTATTATTCCAGGAAAGAATTCAGCAGCGGAAGAAAAGTCTCGATGGCCGTACGTTTTCTCTTTTTTCCGACTTCATCATCCGCAACCTCCCACCCCGCCTTGTTGTAAACTTCCAATACAAGCATGATTGCTAGATCTCCACCACTTGCAGACGCACCCTGCTGAGCCCCAGCTTGTAGCAGTGCCTTGGCGCCCTCGGATAGTATATTTGCAGCTGCATCGTAGTTGGACTGTTTTATATATCGTGCTGCGATCACACGGAGCTGCTGGTGGGATTCGTAGTAAGCTCCGGAGGCAATCCTATTGCAAGCAAAATGAGAATTAGAAATGGCACACAAAATCTTAAATAACCCAAGGGTTTTAAACAATTAGCGGCTTAGGGTTTCAGCTTTACTTCTCTTGCTGCCGGGCAATGGTTTTCTCAATTCGAGATGTCATGATAACCACCACTCTGCTGTGGCCTTCTTGATGTGGGGTAGCTAGCTGCTATGGGAGAGAAGTGTATGTGAAATAGATTTAGGAATAAGCCACAGGTGTAGAATCGAGGTATCCTCGTAAAACAAACTGTTATTATAGAAGAAGCTAGAAAGAGTCTGAACGTGCAATATGTCTTTCCATTTTTCGAGATGCAAGAGGGAAAGCATCCAAAGAAGAGCGTCGTCGGCACAGCCAATCAGAGCGCGTTCTTTCTTAGTTAACTAAAGCTCTCCATCACAACACCAGCAACCTATTACGTCGAACTACCTACTAATAACAACTGGCCACCTATATGATATTATTGGGGCTGATATCCAAGACTCCATATATATTGATACCACGAATTAGTTATTTGGAGCCGATTTGAATCAACCTAGTTCACAGTTGATTAGTTATAGCCTGCTTAAATTCTCCATCGAACATAACTAGGAGAACGACGGCGCTCCTTAACTGGGCAGGACTATTCAGAATAGCCAAGTGTCTGCTATTATCCATGGAGTGTAATATACCACCTGTCTTGCGCTACCAGCCTAAACTAACATGCTCCATAGTTGTTTAGACATGGCTGCTATCTTTGAGACCCTGCCTGTCGAGAAATTCTGTGGAATATCGGAACCCCTAAAGCGGCCAAGGGTGGGATTATACGCAATAAAACTTGTTGTGTACAGATACTTTAGGCTAACCAGAAGCCTTCATTATAAATATTCAGGAAATTGCTTGTTTTTCTTACGACGAATGGCACCGATTTCGACTTGATGACTCTGGCCTCCGTTACTACTATCCTCCAAAATTACCGGTAGACCTAAAGGCAGGCTTTGACACCTTTATACAACGTGATGAATCGGAAGATAAGCATCTCAATGCGCTCCTTGACACTATTATTGCGACCGAAAAGGATAAAGGGAGGAAATACGATATGGACTTTGTTACATGGAGAGGAATGATGACCAAGGCGAGTTTATATTTTATTCATCAGCGGTGATGCATCCGGATGCTAATAATCCTATTCTAAAGATATTCACCGCTCCTTATGATACTATGAACGGGTAATAAAACGCTAACTCGTTCGGGAACCTGATACCTGAATGCTAATTTATCATTGCATTTCCTCATTCAGATTTGAAATGAATGCCACATGTTTTCAAGTGTGCTTCCCCTTTCCCCCCGAGTTGTAAAGATATACTGACATCTTCGCCTTTCCAAAGGGCCAAATGTGAGACTCTGCTCTATAACCATTACTACTGGCAGTGTGCTCACCAATGACCCTCTTGATATGCTAGATTTATTGAAGAGTCTCACTCTTACCACCTGGAGCAACTTAAAGAACAGTCAAACAGAAGAGTGCGCCCAGGAGCTCGTTCATCTGATATGATGTCATATTGGGGTATGTCCCTTGATTTGACCGAACACAACTGTTGCCATTCTACTCACTTATTCTTTTGAAACCAGGTTATAAGTTCGAGACCGTCTCCGTACTCTCGGAGCCATGGGACGCGGCAAGTAGAGAGACAATCGAAGCTAGGGAAACTGACGTTGTGAATAACAATCCACAATATTGCTCGCTTGTCCGCACGGGAATTGGAAATATAAGGATGCTTCTTGCTGGGGAGGTCGATGCAGGTATGCCGCCATCTAAACCCAAACTCAAAGAGCTGAATATTCACATAGATATTCTCGTGTCAAAGTGTGGGACTGCAAGCCCGACAAGAAAGATGACCCTATCAATTGGGTAGAGCTCAAGACATCTGCAACAATACGACATGCAAACGACGCTATAAATTTTGAGCGCAAGCTTCTCAAGTTCTGGGTCCAATCATTTCTCCTCGGAGTTCCAAAAATAATAGTCGGCCGGCGTGACCAAGATGGTTATCTCCTAGCAATTGAAGAGTATACTACCGATGAGATTCCCAATATTCCCAAAAGAGGGGCAAATACATGGGATGCAAACACGTGCATTAACTTTGCCTCTCAGTTTCTGACTTGTATGTTATTGGGTCAGACTTTCTCCTCTTGAAATCATACGGCTAACCCAGGTAACGTACCATTCAGGGTTGAAGACAATCGTAAACTCGGAAGGGGTTTGGAAAATTCGAAAGGCTGCCAAGTCTGGTCAGATTGAAGTGCTTAAAACCCAAGAAACTGGCCATGGAAACATTCTGACCCCCGAATTTGTCGAATGGAGATCGCAAGGGTAGGCCACAGCAAGCTTGCTGTGAGACAGCCTATCGTTCAGCCTTCATATATTAGATGCAGTTGGAGTCATTAAGCGACCGCTATTTGACCACAAGTAATTATGCTTCCAGAGAAGGCTCACAGTTGTTCTTCTCGGACTGCTCTCGCAATTTTTGGAAATATTCGTCTCGGCGCCGTCTATTTTCAGCAGACTTTATTGCCCTCTTGTGCCTCCTCCCCTTCATATGGATTTCCCAGGTATCTGCTCCGGCAATGGTAGCATTACAGGTCGAGCATACCCTCATTTGTGGAATGTCATCAACTTCAAAGCGAGAGGGTGCATTCGCAGATTCAAAGAATTCTTTCGCAACCACTGACATATCTTTGGGATGTGGGAGAGTGACTCCAGAAAGGAACTTTGAGGCAATTTCTTCGGCGGGCTGGCGTACAACAGTGTTCCAATCTTCCACATTCGTCGAATCAGCAATATAAAGACGGTCTGTCATCCCAGAAGTGCCTAAAGCCTTCCACAATTTATTTCTAATCCATCTTGTTTGATGTTTAGCATATATTTTTGTGGCAGTCTGAATTGATTCAATGCACTCCTCCTTCACTTTATCAAGCTCGCTATTTTGTTCCTCCTTTGCTGTGAGAAGTTCGTTAATGTACGGCTCCAGTTCCTTAAACCCAATTGACATCCAAACTCCGCGAGTTCGATCGACTTCAACTCCCTCCGAGGCTTTATCCTGTAAATATTTGAACATTCTCTGGGCTTCGTTCAATAGGCCTTGATCTATCATTTCGTGCACACGCTTGTCAAGTCGCTTCCGTAATTCCTCCTTTTCAGTATGGACCCAAAAAACAAGAAGAGAAAACCTCGCCTGGCCTAGCTGAGTGTCTGGATCCTCGAACTCACCGGCCTCGCAGGAATCGTCATCCTGCAGCGCTGCCTGTCTAATCTTTTTTTTCTGTTCTTCATATATATCTGAAGCTCGCCGCCCAGTCTGTAAGTAGATCTCTAGGGACCGCCGAACCTTTCTCTTCTCATTTGGGTGCCACCGATTTGCCATTACGGGGTCAACTTCTTTTAATTTTTCATAGACCTCCTCAGGAGAAGCATTCAGTATCGAAAAGTCCACACATTCCTCCCGCTCTGCCTTCGAAATTTCGTTATTTGGGGGTCCTTCCGATGGCTTGAACATCTGGCTGTTCGGATTCCCCTCGCCTTCATCAAGTAAGGGTTCATGAAAGAGAACGGATTGTGTATAGTAGTGTGTCCCGCCAACCAATATAGGGACTTTACCCCTTGATCTAATCTCATCGATGATCTTTAGGCTCTCCTTCTTGAACACTCCAATCCTCCAAGGGTCCTGGTCCAGGTCTACACATCCAATCAAATGATGTGGGATACCATGTCGCTCTTCAATGGGTATTTGGTTGGTAGTTATTGGAAGGCCCTTGTACATCTGCATAGCATCTGCACTGATTATTTCTCCATTGACTCGGATAGCAAGGTCAACGGCTAACTATGTAAAGTCTTTAGTGCATGCTATCACTCTGGGGTATATAACGGTTATACAGTATTCTGTAGCTACTCACTTTGGACTTTCCCGTCCCTGTAGCGCCAACCACAGCAATCAAAGGATTCATAGTCGAATTTGCCTTCGCCATGAGTGATCGAGTAAATCTAAACATATTATTATGTGTTACATGTCCTTGGTAACTGATACATTCATGCTCTGTTCAGAAAACTTCGGTTTTCAATGCGGAAGAAAAGTTCCTCACGAGGGCTTGTAATTTATATGTGTATGATCTACGTATAAATTACGTTGTAGTTAGTGAAACTGTACATATTTTCTTACATCCATTACAATACTTACACAGAATCAATACATACACAGATTTGAGATATCAATAATGACAGATGCTCTCCAGTCCAATTTGATAGACCTCCGTGGATGACTTCGCACTTATAGGGCATTGCCAAAGATTGTATTTCAATCATCGAAGAAACATCTACACCCCCACCGCATGGTATTGACGAAGCCGAATTTTCATAGGTATTATATCCGAGAGCCGGTTAGTTATAGAACTTGGGGATCTTGACGTGTCCCTCATAGCCATCGACTTTTCAGCACACCAAATGCTTTTCTCTAGCATCCTTTTGACATGTTGAAATAAACCGAATACGAAACAGCACAGAGACTTCACCAGCTAACTAGTGAGCATTTTGACATGGATCGTTTGAAACACTCAGTGATTATAAATCTCTTCACGTGGTTTTGCATCTAGGTCGGGGCCTGCAAGGGTAGATTCTCAAGGACTTTGAGAGACACAGAAAATTATACAAAAGCATCAGAGACATCCTCCCCTTGACTGACAGACCTTGGAGGAAGCAATTTACCCTCTGTTGTGATTGTCGGTCAGGAACTAGTTATTTCTCTGCCAGCCGGCGTTCTTTTGATTGGAAGCAGTTATCTACAGCACATTCAAGCCTCGCAATGGCATCCGCCGACAACACCCCGAGTACCGATATAAATATCAACAACCTGAGCTACAAGTTCCCCGATGGCTCGACAGGACTGTCAGATATCACTATCGACCTCCCTCAGAACAGTCGAACACTCTTGATTGGCGGTAAAGCAGACTCCATTCCTCGTCCTTGTTATACCACCTACCCTCCATGAACCACCATCCTCACCCCGCGATTTCACATTAATTGCCTTTTCTAAACTGTCTCTGCTCTGCCTTTGCTTCTCTTTATCCAGCCAATGGTGCCGGAAAAAGTACGCTCCTCAGGCTCCTTTCAGGCAAACGCCTTGCACCAAACGGTTCCATCGTCATTGGTGGAGTCGACCCGTTCAAAGAAGGCCTCGAAGGTGTCACATACCTAGGAACCGAATGGGTTCTCAACCCTATCGTTCGAACCGATATCGATGTGCCGACTTTACTCGCGTCTGTGGGTGGAGACTACTATACGGAACGAAGAGACGAGTTGGTTGATATCCTTGACATCGACATGTCATGGCACATGCATGCTGTGTCCGATGGAGAGAGACGACGTGTGCAGCTTGCCATGGGCCTGCTGAGGCCCTGGAACCTCCTCCTGCTAGACGAAATCACTGTTGACCTGGATCTACTCAGCCGAAGCAACTTCTTGGATTTCTTGAAACGAGAAACTGAAAGGAGGCCTTGCACTATTGTTTATGCCACCCATATTCTGGACAACCTCGCTCAATGGCCTACGCATCTGGTACATATGCACATGGGCCATGTAAGGGACTGGGGTTCTATGGAAAAGTTCTATAGCAACCGGCCTCGCATGTCGGAGAACAGTCAGCTTGGCGAACTGGTGCTGGAATGGCTAAGGAAGGATATGAAGGAGCGTGGTCCTCGACCCGGAAGACCAGCAGAGGCGAAGGAGGACATCAGAGATGAATGAGTAGCAGGCATACGTCCAGTTCATTGGATGTGATACTTGTGTGTCGAGATAACCTATTACGTCAACCCTTAACGGTGAGCTAGATTTTCTTATTTTCTGCTGTTAATGCCCTTGGGTGGTTGCATTTGAGCATAGGCGCGGCCTCAACGCCATAGACATTAAACACTGTTTGCCCTTTGTTTTGGAATTTGGTCTTTTAGAACGTCGTCTCTTCTTTTTTTTTTTTTTTTTTTTTTTCACTATTGTAACTAGATAGTTACCCTTTTTTCTGCAGGGACCTACCTATTTTGGTGGAAGACTATCAATATTATATAGACGAATTGAAGAATCTTCACTGGCGACAGCAAGCTGGTATCCAGGTTTTCTGCCAGTTGCGGTCACATCCTCTCCATGAACTTCTACCAGTCCCTTTACTGGCCTCCAAGCTATTTGAGTAATAGATTTTGACGGGCACTCCGTTTGTGGAATCATGAGCATCTCTCCTGCCTCCAAACTCTCCGCCTGGACCTTGCCGACAAATATCCGACCCGAGTCATCTCCAATAGCAATGTAGAGTCCATCATGCACCGATATAGGCAGGAAATCGACAGCAGTAATTGGGTAGGAGAAAGTAATTGTGGTTTTCGCAGTAAATGTGTCATCCTCCTTGAGCCATATCTTAACGGACTTGTCACGGCCACCCGTAGCAAATACTGTAGCTGTTGGATGCGGTGCCCAGCTCGCACTCAGTATCATTCTTGAATGGCCTTTCGGGTTGGAAGCAAGCAATTTAAACAGTAATTTGTTGACCGAGTCTCGTTCAAAAACCGCCCATTGCCGATCACGCCCAACACTGAGCAGATACTTGTCATCGGCAGAAAATCGCAATGAAGTTATCGTCAATGAATGGGCAGTTAACGGAGGCCGTACTTCATTCCATGTTGAAGTGTCATATAAACGAATGACCGCATGGTCGATAGAACTAGCCTTGCATGCAGTAGCGATGACTGATAGATCATGACTTGCAGTGACTGCTGATATTTCGTATCCATGGCCATATAGCTTCTCATGCTCCGGCCAAAGTGTATGTCTTGCGAGATGGTCCTCTAGCGGTGGATGGTCAAATTCCAGGTTATATACTTCTGGCTGCACTGTTTGCTGTTCCCCCTGGTCGCCGGCTTCGTTTGCTCCCTCGTCATCGCCAACCTCTTCGTCCATTGCTTTATTAGACAGCCCTAGGACTGGAATACTTGCAGCGTCTGGCATTTCCTCATCGCTTTTCGGGTTAGCTAGTCCACTTAGCCGTGTAAGTAAATTAGCCACAGCCCTGGTTTCATTAAAGACCCGTAAAAGCTTTTCATCGGCACCTGACACAAATCTAGATGGGCCGAGTGGTGCAAGGCAGTTGAGGTCATAGCCATGTATTTGAGGCCGTGAAAACTCATGCCATGAGTGATGGTTACCCTTCTTCCACTCAGCATATAATCTCGTTGTTTGGTCTCCACTAGTAGACAAAAGATACCCTCCGTTGGTCTCCCAAGCAATATCACAAACTGCTCTAACGTGTCCTGTTATTCCTGGTATAGGAAGCCATGCATCTGCCGCAGTATCATGTCTCCAGGATCTCCAACTGCCTGTCCTGCCTAGGCATACAACAACATCCCCGCATGGTGACCAAAGACCAACCCAAAAGCCACCAGCACTACCGGTAGCCGTGGTAGAGCCTTTAAGAGAGCTAATTTCTCCCATTCTTGATAGAGAAAACCACACACCAGTTACCGGGTCCTGCTCCCAGATGACCAAAGAGTTATCTGCGGAAGCAGATAATAACTGTTGCCGGAGAGGGTTTGGATGCCATGCTACAGTATAAACCCAGTCTTCATGGCCAAAAAGAAGAGCCTCGAATGTTATTGAATACTTGGCACCATTCAAGTCAAAATTATGCGCCTTTGGAGTTAAAGTCGCCTGCTCCACTCCAGCTAACAATTGGTCTTCCACATTCTTAGGCGTATCTGAAGTAGTGCCTTCTCCTAGGCTCACTTTCCAAAGGCGAATGTATTTATCCTGGCTGCATGAAGCAAGAAGAAAGTCCTGAGAGTTTGTAGGCCTATCTTCACCGGTAGGGCTATCCTTGACAGGTGAAAACGCAAGGGAACGAATCCAGCTTTCATGTCCAGTTAGGGTAGTACTCAGTTCAAACTTGAGGTCATTGGTATCCTGCGCGGAATATATCTGGACTGCAGCCCTAGTGCCTCCAACTGCAAGCACCATTCCATCTGACTTGGCTCCCGAATTTTGGCGAGGTATGAGTTTTAGAGCCATAGCAAGAGGGAAATACCGAGGTTTTAACGAAATGCTCTGTAGTAGTTGGCATTTTATCTCATCACTCTCCTCAGTTATACTCCAAACTTTGACAGCTCCATCTGCAGCCCCAGAGACGAAGGTATTTGACCCGCAAGCGACCTCAATGCAGTTCAGCGACCCTTCATGATACCCCTCCACGACTGCTGCTTGTGAAAACTTGGGCGGACTGGAAGTATCTGGTTTCCATATTCGTATAGTATGGTCACTACCGCCAGTGAGAAGTAGTATCGACCCGTTGGTGGGAGATGTGTAAAATTTAACAGCGTTTACTCTGTCAGTATGGCCCACTAACAGTGTGTATACGCCTGCGCCATTTTTGTCCTATAATGCAAATCACTGGTTAGATTTTCAGTCGATACATTCCAGAGAAGAAGTAATTGAACTCTTACCAAGGGGTTCCAAACGGCAATATTGTTGTTCGCACCGAAGGCTAACAAACCAGACCCATGGTGCCAATCTGCTGCCGCAGGATTCCTGTTGCCCCCAACACTGATGAAATCTGTGGTGATAGACACCATGGATGGCAAAGCCATTGAGTCTAGCTTTGAATAATGCCAAATACCTCCCGTCCGGCAGGCTGCCCTTCAAGCGAGGATGTTGTTCCTTTTTGAAATCGTTCATTATGGATTCCTTGCGCAAAAACAACCTTCGCAGTCTTATCGATAAGAGATTTTTTCCCTCCCCACCTAGTTAACTAGTTAACCAATATGTTAATGACATTGTTAAGAAACCACCACGCATCTGGAGGCGCCTTTTACGTCAAGGAGATCTGCATTTTCTAGACTGCTTGATTAAATATGGGCTCGGTTATGGCTGGTACACCTGATGATACCAAGGGTAATGAGACCCTTGATATTACGGTAGAGTTCACGTTCGTCCCCCAGGAAAGAATTTTATACCGGAGCAATAGAACTAATTATACAATCGCTTTCAGAGGAGGCCTTGAGATGCTATTCTCAAATCAAAGGGTTCATAAGATTGCACTACCGTCCTGGGACCCAAGCGGATCTGCTGCGAATATCAGCTTCTTAGTCAAATACTTAATCGAAAACGTGATGAAAGACCCGAGAAAAGAGCTATTCGTGGTTGATGATGCAGTGTTAGCATACCATTACTGGAAGCTAGAAGGCCGATATTATGGAAATGAGGCTAACATCTTTAATTCAGACGACCTGGCATATTAGTATTGATTAATGACGCCGACTGGGAGCTGGAAGGAGAAGACGCCTATGAGATTTCGAAGGGTGATAACATTCTATTCGTATCTACACTCCATGGAGGCTAGATACTAGCATGGAGAGTCTGGTTCAATAACAACATCATAAGAACAGTTTCGTCATCAATAAAGGCATAACATGGGGAACAGGAAGAGTGAATCATTATCTCATACATGGTCTAGTTCATAAGCGGAACGCGAACAGAAGACCCGTCAGACGACATCTTCGGCATGGTGCTGGGATATCTTTTCTGGATCTTTGGGGGTCCTAAATCCGAGCTGCGGAGTTGCACCCCTTTCAAAAGAGGAGCCATCCAGCCCACCACCAGGCATTGGTGAAACGATGCCACTCGGTGGGACGGGAATCTTAATGTCCTCTGGTGAACCTGGAACAATTTCTGGTGGAAGATCTGGTATGTGAATGCGTTTTGCCTGGTTATTATAGCTGGCAGGGATTATCTATGATGCTGTTAGCGCTATACCCCATGAATATATATATGATTAAACATGTCCATAATCACCTCAATTATCTGGTCGCGTGGGAAGGACAGAAATGGGATATCTGCAGAGTTACACGCCATTAAATACCCATATAGCACTCTCAAAACGCTTTCATGTGCAATGATAAGCAGATCATTTTGTTCACGTTCAAGCTCAAGGATGACAGGCTCAAGGCGCACGGCCAAGTCGTGATATGACTATAATTGTGTTAGTATCAATGACCAGTGTATAACCAGATGGATCTACCGCTTACCTCAGCTCTGGGATACCTGTGGTGATAGGGGTCCAAGTCATGCATTTCTACTTCATCAGGATATTCTTTTCTGATCTGTTCTTCCGACATCTTCTCGCATACTCCAGGATTCAGCTGACTCATTTGAGAACGATGTCGGACCTTATATCCCTGTAAACGAAGAAATTGTGCAGTTTCTATAGATCTGCGTCTGGTTGAAGACCAGATTATGAGTGGCCTGAGCTGTGGATCAGGCTCGCCCTGTTCTAGTAGGACTTTTCTCTCTTCTTCCCGATGTTTCATGAGCGTGTCAGTCATCTTGCGGGCATAATCTTCCCCTTTTGACGAAAGTGACGAATCGGCTTTGTACGAGTCTGACTCCGTAGAAGTGCCGGCCTATAGAAGAAATAAGTTCGTGGACTACAGTATAGAACAACTGAGGGACATACCCTAACAAAGTAGGTACGTCTGTTCTTGATATGTAGGTTCAACAGGTAAAAAACAATCCGATGATGGAGATAACCAAAACCACGGTTGTTAATCATCATCTTTTCACCAGCGTTAAACATCTATTACTTCGTTAGCAAATTTCCCCCACGAATTTAACAAAGAATGCACCTTGATATAGTTCAACTCTTGCTCTTGCATGGTTTCGAACAGTGGAATCCTCGCGGATATTCGAGCTAGATAATCTTTTACAGCCACTTGGGAATCCCACCCCACATACTGCAATCCAAAAAGTGAAGTGTTAGATCAAGTGGTGGAATAATGTAAGTTGAAGGGGTCTCATACGTCAGGGGATGATATCTTCACTCGCCGCACGTTCTCTTCAATTATACGCTCATCGCTGCAAGATGATTCAATAAATAAGGTCTAGGAGGTTAGCATTCTCCTTCCCGGGTGTCATTTGTTATGACATACCTCGATATCTTGCTTCGCAAATTCTCGAGAGAGAGATATTCTACCAGCAGCCAGTGGGTTAACAGCATCATATATGGCGATTTGTCCATTTTCATGGTTCAAGAAGTGATATATGTCTTCCCGGCATCTTTTGACAATCTTCTGTCGAAGAAGGACGGAAGAAGCAGATGCTATTGTATCTGTTAGCTTTCCAATATCTTTCTTCTTAAAACTAGGGATGAATACCATTCGCAAAGAAGTAATCCTCTGGTAGTTCACCGCCAACACCGACGGTAGCTCGTCTGTAATCTCCAAGGTGAAATATGCGAGTTTTAACACCAAGCCTGTCTAGATGTTAGCAGACAAAAGACCTGAACAGACAGGGGTGTGTATGCATACCACCTAAGATACCGAGCAAGGGCCACAGATATGTGCCTAGAAGCAAAATATTTTCAGCACGGCTAATAACAAGGAGGAATGATAGAAAAAGTTCACTGACGTCTTTCCACGGGCTGGTAAACCAACGGTGATGATGACAATCCGTCCAGAATGGAAGAGCCGCCCGGATTCAGTACTATAAAGTTGAGCTGGTGCCAGGGCTGGCATTTCCGGCATATCATGGATAGCATCGACAAAGGTCGACGACTTCCGTCGAAATCGAGGCGCTGTTGCCACAACATCGGCAGTTCTATGTGATGAGGTGAGTCGCTATACCTCTCAACGCATTGTCTAGCCACATCTATATTGTGTAGGTATCAATGTATAAACGTGGCCAGGGTCGCAAAACATACATTAGGGTATCCATGGCGGCGTCCACACGGCTATTCAGTATATATAGCTCTTAGAAGCCAAATTCAAATATTTCAAGACTCTACCTGTTCTTTTACGAGTGTTGATATCAGAAAGAGGAGCTCCCTGCAAGGCGGGCCACTAGAGAAACATGTGGGGAACCGAAGTAGAGTGCAAAGAAGAATAATGGTAGTGAAAACATGCAAGGGGAAAAAAGATAGGTTTCCTCCGCCGGACTACCAGCTTCTCGGACTGCTCCAAGTCGTAACCTCGTAGAGAGATACCGGCATCAACACTGGCGAAGTCGGAGGTTGAAGCCGAGCACGCAGAAGGCAGTCGGTCGACGATGGAGGCCCAAAGAAGCTAGCGCGCGTCGAGGGCTTGGCATTGGAAGGCCTTTTGGATTTTGCGGAAAAAAGAAGTTTCAAGACCAAAAACCTCATTTTTCTTCATCTTCAAGAAAACGCTGTTGACTCTGAGCGAGCTTTAGCAACGGAGCACGATTGCCAATTGCCATTCGACAGTCCGACAGGCGGTGGCGGACGTCCCTCGTTCAGGGCTGTGTGTTAATTATGCTTTTGATCTGAGAACGACGCCCTTCTTTCACTCTTCATACCGCGCATTTCATCACTTGCTTATCCTAATATCCTGTCATCATGGCCGACTTCAGCTCTGCTCTTTCGTTTTTGACGGATAACCCTGCCGCGGGAGTTCTAAAAGATTCATACGATGCGTTTGCACGGCGGAGAGCAGACCTAGGGCTGTCGAATCCCGGCACTGTTGAGATGGTTTCTCGAGAAGTCCAGAAGGATGTCTTGCTCTCCAATTTCATGTTCACAGGCCTTCGTGCCGATTTGACCAAAGTCTTCGGAGTCTCGCCTCTTTTCCGAATCTCTCATGCGTTTACCATGGGCTCTCAAGGCAACCTTCCTCCATATGCGTTGTCTACTATGTTTGGAACTTCAGATGTGAGTTGAACAATAGCGTTTGTTGAGACGCCGGTCTGGGTATCTGAAAATTGAGCTAGGAGTTAGGCTGACCTGGTGTATTTCCCTAGGTGCTTATGCAAGGAAACATTGGCAGTGACGGAGCCCTGGCCGCCGTTGCAAACTATCGCTGGAGCCCATCCTTGATCAGCAAAGCCAACGTTCAGATAATGCCCGGTTCTGCGCAGGGCCTCATTCAGCTCGATAACGATTACACCGGGTCTGATTTCTCAGCGTCACTTAAGGCTTTCAACCCATCGATTCTAGAAGGGGGGCTCACCGGTATTTTTATCGGAAGCTACCTGCAGTCCATCACTCCTGGGTTGGCCCTGGGACTCGAGGCTATGTGGCAGCGTGCTGGACTCGGTGCTAAGCCAGAGACTGCTCTTTCGTACTGTGCACGATACAAGGCAGATGACTGGATTGCCAGTGCCCAGCTACAGGCACAGGGAACCATCAATGCATCGTTCTGGAAGAAACTCTCCGACAAAGTTGAAGCTGGTGTTGATATGAACCTTCAATTTGCGCCAAGCGGCAACCCCATGATGGGAGGCAGTCTTCAGCGAGAGGGAACTACCGCTGTCGGAGCCAAGTATGAGTTCAGGGCGTCTACGTTCAGAGCTCAGGTTGACAGTGACGGAAAAGTAAGCTGTCTGCTGGAGAAGAGAGTTGCCATGCCAATTTCTCTCACCTTTGCTGGTGAAATAGACCAGGTCAAGGTAAGTGATATAGCTTCACATTGACAAGCAACTATTTCGGACAACTGACTAATTCTCTTTTGTAGCAAACTGCCAAGCTTGGTCTTGCTGTCTCCTTCGAGATGGCTTCTGAGGAGCTGATGGAACAGCAAGAATCTGGAGAGCTGGCTAGCGTCTCTCCGCCCTTCTAAATTCATAATCGGGGGAAAAAAATCTCCGTCTACCACCTCTCGTCTTTGCTCTCCTCCCAGTCTTGACTCCTGAAGACTACATTCAACCAGCCAGCCATTCACGACCATATATCCCGCACACTCTATAATATCCGCATCGTGGGCAGCTTTAATTGCCTGTGGCCATGATCACCATGAAGCCTCGACAGTCAGGTTGTTCCCGTCTCTATGGACTCTCAAAAGCCCCATTTCTATTCCCATGCATAAACGTCCAGGAAGTTGTATTAGGTGTACGGAACTTCGTCTTGTATAGAGCCTTCCTCCCCCCTTTTTCTTTCTATTCATTACTCTCCTGTCTTAACACACCCACTTTCACCCTGCGTTACTGTTTTTAATGGTAACTTTTACTTGTTTTATTTTTCCCAAAGTGTCATGTCATGATTTTCCTGTACTCACACTACCTTTCTGTTTGTGTTCTGTGGACAGATTATGGGACATGAGATTCAGACCAGATGGGAGGATAGGATTATCGTTTAGGCTGTGTTTGTTGTTCTACCTTATATTTCTTATCTTTCCTTTGGGTTAGTTTTTGCCTGCAAAACTTAGAAGGAAGGAATGTAAAATAACATGACTTGATTTTTGCTCAGCCCGTTCCGTTCCCACCGCTTGAAGCGTCAATGAGTAAATTGAGA